TACGCAACATGGGAACTTCTGGGAACTTGATGGTGATTATACATGGATTCTCCCAACTAGTAAGGATCTGAAGACTTCCTACAAAGCAGTAGCAGGTGTCATAGATAGGCTTGGGGAAAAAAACGACCTATTGAAACAAAACAGAAAAAAAGGAGAAGTAGCGATGATGGTTCACTCACTGGGCTTTCCCGATGAGGAAGGAAACCTCACCCACAAGACCAAGCTTATATTGTACCCAATTATCACTGACGGAGGAGTGAACGAAGAAGCAGAAGATGAATGTATCTTCAAGGCATTGAGTAAAGTGAAATCAATCATGCTCGAACACAAAAAGAAAAAACTGGCAATCCCAGAAATGGAAGGTGTAACTGGCCTGATAGTGTGTAGAGTGTTGGAATTTTTATTCGTTAACACTGACATAGAGATCCTAATGATAAGAAATAGACCCCAACAACACCCAGGTAGACAGCAGTCTGGCTCCCGAACGGTAAATAGCGCCAAACAGGTGAAGCCCAAACAGGACGCATTGCTAGTGAAGAAGCCCAATGTCAGGTACGCAGACTTGCTGAAAATGGTGAAAGAGACTGTCAACCCAAGCGATATCGGTGTAGAGATCCAAGATGTGAGAAGAACTAGAAGCGGAGAACTCCTACTCACGATAAAAAATGGAGCACTCGAAGACCTCAAGGGAATGATCCAGGCTAGAGTACCAGAGGTGTCAACGTCTCTCCTATCTAACAAAAGAATTCTCCATATCAAGGATATGGATGAGATAACAACAATTGAGGAGATCAGGGAAGCCATAACCCAATCAATACTAGTTAAGCCCGAAGATGTCGAAATAAGAGCCCTGAGACCAACCAGAATGAGCAAGCAGAATGCTACAGTTGTACTGCCAGAACCAGACGCGGTTAAACTCATGAGCCTGGGGAAAATAAAGGTCGGATGGTCGCACTGCAGAGTGCTGGAAAGGAAGAAGGAGCTCAAATGTTACAAATGCTGGGAATATGGGCATGAGAAAGCGCAGTGCAAAGGACCAGATAGAGAATCCCTGTGCCTGAAATGTGCTCAGCAAGGTCATAAAGCGGCGGTCTGTACAAATAACCCCCACTGTGTCCACTGCAACGGGGATGGTAATCAAACAGGCAGCATCAGCTGCCTCGAGAATAAGGGAAGACGAAAGCAAGGAACACTACATCAGGCTGAGGTTCCGAACTGAAGTCATGGTTAAGTTCCTTCAAATCAACAGTTTCAGGAGGAGGCCATGTCACGACTTAGTGCTTGCTATGGCCAAGGACATGGATATTGGAGTTATCCTCATGAGCGAACCTAACAGGAACGCAGTAAAAAACAGAAAAGATTGGTTTTGCGATGATGATCTTAACACGGCTATAAAAGTTGAGAAGGAATTAACCATAAAGCAATTTGGAAAAGGCCACAGTTTCTCCTATATGGTAACGCCAGGGTATACCATCTACAACTGCTATGCCTCACCAAACGAAGGGCTTGATGATCTTGAGAGGATCTTGTGGGGAATTGGGAGGTTGATTGGATCTAGTGGAAGAAAGACAGTCGTCGTAGGGGACTTTAATGCAAAATCCCCCCAATGGGGCATGGAAGCGACAGACAGAAGAGGGCAACTACTCACGGAATGGATGGCAGAACATGACTTGGTTGTAGTGAATGAAGGGAATAAACCAACGTTTCAAAGGCGTGATTATTCCTCTATCCTGGACTTGACACTTGCATCCGGTGATATCAAGGCAAGTATCAAAAACTGGTATGTCAGCGATCTTGAATCATTGAGTGACCACAACTTCATTCTCTTCGAAATGACAGAACAAGAGCCATTGCCATCTCGGGACATTACGAATCATGGAGGCTGGCAGGTCAGGAAACTGGACAGAGAGAAACTTCGTCAGATAACGATGGAAGATCGAGAGGAAACCAGGCATAATTCAGCAAGAGGACTGGCATATTCACTGAACCAACTCTGTGAACAGACAATGCCTAGGAAAAAGAGTCTGTTGAAAAAGCAACCTGTCTACTGGTGGAGTGAGGAGATTGCCCAAGCCCGACGGGATTGTATGCGAAGAAGACGACTCTACACGCGATCCGTCAGAAGAACTCGGCCAGAAGAAACTCATAGGCTATGGGAAGAGTACAAGGATTCTAAGAAATCGCTCCAAAACGCTATCAAAGAGTCCAAACGGAAATGTTGGAAAACGATCTGTGATAAAGTCGACTGTGATATCTGGGGGGATGGCTATAAAATCGTCATGAAGTCCCTGACTGGCTACCCTCCCAGACTAAGAATGCCCATGCAAATGGTGGAGGAAGTGGTAGACCACTTATTTCCTGTGCACCAAGATGTGATATTCAACTGTGATACAAATGTGATATTTTTAAATTTTAGCCTAGATGAGTTACGTGTAGCATGTGAGAAGCTGAAAGATAATAAAGCCCCCGGACCCGGTAATATTCCACCAGAGATTATTAAGGCTCTAGCTTTAAATGACCCTCACTATGTACTGGCAGTATATAATGGTTTGGCTAGCCGCGGAGAATTTCCAGCAGAATGGAAAAGGGCAAGGCTACTGCTTCTGAGGAAACCAGACAAGCCAATAGAAAGCCCATCTGCACACAGACCGATCTGTCTGCTGGACGTAGAGGGAAAACTATACGAACAACTCATTCTCATCAGACTCAAGAGAGAAATATCGCGGACGGGGGGACTGTCACCCAGACAGTTCGGTTTTGTTGAGGGGAAACAGACTGTAGATGCCATAGAGGAGGTATTGAAAATTGCAAGGGGAGCAGGAGAAGAATACACCCCAGCGCACCGACGACTCTGTGTAATCATCACATTAGACATAAAGAATGCCTTCAATAGCGCTAGGTGGCAGATAATATTGGATGAACTAAGGAGAAGGGAGATGGATGAGAGCCTCATCAATGTAATAAGAGCCTACTTGTCAGAAAGAGAGGTTATTCTCGAAGCAGAGAATATAGAGAAATCTAGGAGAATCAACAGCGGGGTACCACAAGGCTCAGTACTGGGACCAACACTGTGGAATATACTCTACGATGGGCTCTTGAGATTGGAACAACCGACAGGAGTAACCCTAATAGGCTTCGCTGACGATATTGCAATGGTAGTAGTATCCAAAGGCGAAGAAAGTCTGATGAACGTAGCAAATACAGCACTCCAGCGCGTGTCAAACTGGCTAGTGACGAATGGCCTAGAATTGGCACCCGAGAAAACTGAAGCAGCTTTGCTAACGACGAAAAGAAAAATAGGCCCTATCGAATTCGATTTGCAGGATGCTACAGTGCGACCAAAGGGGGCAATCAAGTACCTGGGAATTTGGTTGGATACAAAGCTGACGTTCGCAGAGCATGTGCACAAAGTATCTCAGAAAGTGGAGAAGACAGTGGTGGCTCTTTCTGGACTTATGCCAAATGTAAGAGGACCAAGAGCATCCAAAAGAAGGTTGCTCCTGAGTGTAGCCCATTCCCAAATGCTGTATGGTGCACCAGCTTGGCATACAGCTGCAAGCAACAAGAAACTGGTGTCGAAACTAAGCAGCATCCAACGCAAAATGTGCATCAGGATATGCTCTGCATATCGAACTATATCTACAGAAGCAGCTGAAGTAATCGCGGAAGTACCTCCGATCGATCTCCTAATTATAGAAAGAGACGAAAAGTACAGAGGAGTAGCCGGACCTATCGCCAGGATGAATCTGATGGCAAGTTGGCAGGGAAAATGGACTAACGGTAAATATGGAAGATGGACGTACAGGCTGATACCAAATATACAGGAATGGAGAAACAGACCATATGGAGAAGTCGACTACTTCACAACACAGGCGTTATGTGGACACGGGTGCTTCAGGAAGTACCTCTTCAGTCGCATGCGAGCAGAATCCGAAGACTGTCCCTACTGCGGAGAGCCAGATGACGTAGAACACACTTTGTTTGCGTGTCACAGATGGGTAGTGATCCGTCAAGAATACCAAACTGAAATGGGTGTACCTTTTGAAGCAGAGAGCATGATGACGTCTCTGATATCAGGGAAAGAGGGGTGGAAAAGTGCATACAAGATTATAAGGCACATAATCGAGAACAAAGAAAAGGACGATAGAGAGAGAGAATAGTTGACAACGCAAGACAAAGGCACTCTCACTGAAGTAATGCGCAAGCGGTTCCAGTGGGAGATGCGACTAGAGGAGAGGTTTTAGCCGGTAAGAATCCGACATTCTGGAAAGACCAGAATCTCATGCAAGAAAAAAAAAATAAAAAAAAAAGATAGATAGATAGATAGATAGATAGATAGATAGATAGATAGATAGATAGATAGATAGATAGATAGATAGATAGATAGATAGATAGATAGATAGATAGATAGATAGATAGATAGATAGATAGATAGATGAGGTCCAATTGGGGTAGTGATGCGAAAATATGGCATTGTATCCTGCTCATGTCACTCAGCCTCTCCTACTCAATCCCATTTCTCACCTCCAAGTGGTGGACCTCGGTAACCCGAGAAACCCTGTCTGAGATTGGGTACCCAACCCCAGTGGACGGCAGGGTCGGGGCAAACGAGATTGGGAGCCCCAATCCCAAGGTGTAACACCATCGTGCCGAGGGGATGCATGACACAGGGGATAGTGATGTCGCGAGCGATGCCTTGGAAAACGGGCGACCTCCGAGGGATTCTAGCCTTAGCGGGGTATGGGCGCTCTGCCCCGCCAGACCGCTCTTTCGCACCATACTCGTGGGAAGCAATATGGAAAAAGAAGAACCCAAAAATCAAAAAGGGGCACCTCTGGTAGGCGACCAGGCCGAGGTGTTCGAACCTACTGGAAGCGAGCAGGCATGGCTCAAAAGATGGCAGGATGCCATGAAAGACCCCAGCTTTGAAATATCTCAGAGGAGAAATTCAATTCATAGGTCACCCGAGAGAAGAATAAATCTACTACATACAAATACAGGGAAAGAAGTTCGCGGAAAGGAAAAATCAGACAACCTGACACAAGAAATTCCGCCGACGGAAGCCGAGAGTAATGAAGAGATGAAAATGAGTCAAGAGACAACGAGAAACGAATCCGACAATTTAACGCAGAGACTGAAGCGCAAGAGGCTTGATATGACTCCCGATGAAATCGAATACGATACAGAAATAGAGAAAGGAAACTTCAAGAGAACTCTGGATGCAATAATAAAACAGGTGAGGAATCTAGAATCGCTGTTGATAGACACTTATAAACCCAAGAAGGAACTCACAGAAATAAGCTCCAAGCTGACCCACTACGCAAACCAAATTCAGAGGAAAGGACAAAGAAAATGGTTGGAAAGTGTTACACGGGAAACAAAGACTATAGAAACTCAAGTGGCCGAGGAAGACATCCAACAGGAGTGGGAAACAAGAAGTTCTCAAAAAATGGAGGAGATACGAAGAACTCTTGACGCTGACAAGGAGTTCGCAAGTTTAGCAAAAATTTTGGATGACGAATGGCCAGAGGAATGCTATAAGGTAGTACACCCGCAACAAAAGAAACTACTCCAGTTAGAATGGCAGGAAGACTTGGTCTTATTTATGGATCCCACGAAACACGACGAGGTGTACGAGGAGCTCATAGCTCGATATCCGAGTATAGCCCCGTTGGTCGAGGAAGGGCTCACGGAAGGGATCATGGATTTTGTCAAGTTACAAACGAATTTCACTCAGTCGATATTCATCATGCCAATGAAAATCGACAACAGTGGTGTGGACGATGCAGAATTGATCTACAAATTGAGTACCCAGCTGAAGGAGGAAATTGGTGAAAACGACAGAAAATGCCTTAGGATAGGCACACTGGGAAAAACCAATCTCGACTACATCCGAAAATGTATGGAATATACTTTGCAAAGCACGAATATCAAGGCTACACTATGTGTCGAAGGAAAGGATGAAACAAAGAGGAAATATGATGAGATACATGGAAATAAAAGGGGGAGACATCCTGGGAGAGATAAAATTATCATCAAGGCACCGGAAGGGAAAAGTTACGCCGACCTCCTCAAATCGGTGAAAGACTCAGTGAACATAGAGGAGATAGGGATAAAAATATCATCCATAAAAAAAACGAAAAGAGGAGATCTCATGCTGGAGGTCATAGGAGGAAGAGGAGAAGCAATGACGCTCAAACAAACCATCCAGGAGGCAAGAAATAACACCGAGGTTATTATCACAAACAACGATACAACTGTATATATCACAGATATAGATGCTAGCATTGATGAAGATGGACTGAAAAAGGAGATTTCAAAAGCGGAAGCCATCCCGGATACTCACTTTAGGATAATTTCGATGAAACCAACACAGAGTGGAAATCAAACAGCTGTTGTTGCCATGAGGAGAGACGTAGCCGCTAGGGTGATAAATAGGGGTAAGATTAAAATAGGATGGATTCAATGCAGAACTCGCAAGAGGGTCAATCTGCAAAGGTGCTTCCGATGCCATCTCCTTGGTCATAGGAGGGAAAACTGTACAAACGAAGATAAGTCAGAGCACTGCCTAAAGTGCACTATGACTGGACATAGAGCAAAAGACTGTCAGAACCCACCATTCTGCATGGTTTGCAAAACCGAAGGACATAGGCTAGACCAAACAAGATGTCCACAGTTCAGGAAATATATCAGGGATGAAGCTAGGCTGCCTCGCCTCGCTGGTGGTGTCCTCAAAAATGACAATTAAAATCTTGCAGACCAATCTGGGAAGAGCAAAGGCCGCTCACGACCTGGTCTACGCAACAGCACTCAAAAGAAATATAGATATCCTAATTGTAGGAGAGCCTAACAAAAAACAAATGGAAAGTTCAAAGTGGATTAAGGATAAAAGAATAGACGTGGGTATCCTACTCATAAATAAAAAACTAGCAGTGAAAGAAGCACGTTCAGAGGAAGGATATATAAGGGTGGGGCTGAAGAACTGCCAGCTATACTGCTGTTATATCTCTCCAAATATTTCTTTCGAAGAATATAAGGAAAGAGGACAACTTAATGGATGACGCCAGGGGAAGAGGAGGTGAAAAAATAATCCTGGGAGATATAAATGCAAAATCTCCTACATGGGGCTCACCAACGAAGGATAGAAGGGGAGAGTACTGGGATGAGTGGATGGCAGCGTCAGACCTGAATATACTGAACGACGGTGTGAAACCCACATTCGTGCGAGGACAGACAGAATCATATATAGATATAACATGCTCGACAAATGGAATACAAAAAGCTATAAGAGACTGGCAGGTACTAGAGGAAGAAACGCTAACCGAACACCAGTATATTTTCTTTTCGATCTCGACGAAAGGTGAAAAACAGGAAATGAGTAGAATCATACCAGTTTGTGACTGGGTTTTGTTCAAGGAACTTGCGACGTGGAGAATAACAGCAGGAGTGAAAACCACAGAAGACTTAGAAAAGGTGATGAAGGACGCATACAGAGGTAGCTCAACATTTACAGAAAAAGCAAGGATACCTTTCTGGTGGAATGAGGAAATCCAGGAAAAAAGAAAAAAATGTCTAAAGCTCAGAAGAGAGATAACACGTGCTAGAAAGCAGACACGAACAAATGAAGAGATGATAAATCAAAAACACTCGGACCTCAAGAGTTGCAGAAAGGAGATGCAGCATGCGATTAATGCCTCCAAGAGAAAGCACTGGAATGACCTTTGTAGGGAACTGGAAGAGGACATATGGGGCACTGGATACAAAATAGCAGTCAAAAAGCTGACAGGATACGCTCCCTTTGATATTGACTTGGAAAAGAAAAAGGAGATAGCGAAAGAATTATTCCCAAGTAGAAATAAGACCTGGCGGAAACCTTCAACTCAAGAAAATATACAGCCTTTCACGGAGGGAGAGCTGAAAAGGGTCTTGACGAAAATGAAACCGGGAAAGGCACCAGGTGTAGATGGAATCCCATCGGAAGCAATCAGAATACTAGAAGAGATATCACCTGCGGTTATTCTGACACCTCTGAATAACACCCTGAGAAAAAAGGATTTTCCGAAGGCATGGAAAAAAGCAAAACTGATACTTATACCTAAGGGAGACATTCAAGACATGAAATTCAGACCGATTTGCCTATTGAACGCTATAAGTAAAGTGTACGAAGCACTATTGAGGGAGAGGTTGAGCGAGGAACTTGAACTGAATGGGGGTCTCTCAGAGCGCCAATTTGGATTTTGTAAAGGAAGATCTACAATACAGGCAGTTGAAATGGTTATGAATACGGTAAAGAATAAGCCAAATGATAAATGGGCGGCTCTCATCACGCTGGACGTCAAAAACGCCTTCAACACGGCATCATGGGATAAGATACTACAGAAATTGGAATCAAGAGGAATAGCTAGCTATCTCCTAGACATCATAGATAGCTACCTGAACGACAGATCCCTACAGATTGAGAAGGATACTTGCATAGGCATCACTGCAGGGGTTCCACAGGGTTCAGTCTTAGGACCCACCCTGTGGAACGTACTTTACGATGACGTTCTTGACGAAATGGTTCCAGAGGGTGTAACATTGCTAGCGTATGCTGACGACCTCGCGATCGTCGTTACTGCTAAGACCAAGGAGCAACTGAAATGGAAGGGCGATGAAACTGTACTACAAATTCACGCCTGGATGAAGAGAAACGAACTGGAGTTGGCGCCCCAGAAATCCGAAGCAGTCATCCTCAGAGGACAAAAGGGAAAGGAGGATATCCACTTCGAATGTGGAGGAGTAGAAATACCTAGTAAAAGAAACGTAGTCTATCTGGGAATTACCATAGGTGAAAACTGCAGCTTCGTTCAACATCTCAAAACCGCTGCCCAGAAAGCCGAGACAAGAGTTGCTTCTCTGAGCAGGATAACACCAAATGTGAGAGGACCAGGAGCAAAAAAGAGAGAGATGCTGTATAATGTAGTACAGTCTATCCTCCTATATGGAGCGCCCATCTGGCATGAATACCTCAACATCAAGAGATACAAACTCCTACTAACGAGGGTACAACGAAAAATGCTACTGAGAGTGATCAGTGCATACCGGACTGTTTCCGCGAAAGCGGCACAAGTGGTTGCCGGGATCATACCAATCGAGCTCATGGTGGAGGAACGGTGGAGATTATACTTGAGGGTGGATGGGAGTACGTCTCATGCCAAGGCAGAAGAGAGGTCGATAACATTAGGAAATTGGCAAGAACTGTGGGATAACACCGAAAACGAGGCACAATGGACAAAGACACTGATACCACGTTTGATACCCTGGATAGAGTGCAAACATATAAAGCCGGACTATTGTCTGACCCAGGTTCTCACGGGACATGGATCTTTCAAAGTCTACCTGAAGAGAATGGGAAAAACAGAAAGTGATCTATGTGTGTACTGTGGAGCAGTAGATACAGTGGCACATACAATCTTTGAATGCCAAAGATGGGAGGAAGGAAGGAGGCAAACCCAACTGGCCCTTGGTGTTGATATAAACACGAACAACCTGATAGAAACCATGATGAGACAACCTGAAACCTGGCAACATATACACAATTTTGTGAGAGGAGTTATACTGAGGAAAGAAACAGACGAAAGGCAAGAAGCCAACCAACGAAGATAGAAAACTGATCGAATGAACACTAAGGTCCACTTCATCTGACGATATGCGAAAAGTTTTCCCAGAGAGGTGGACGGACACACAGGGGTTTTTTAGTCAGTAGGAGTCTGACACTATCGAATCGCCATAGGCACGAAGCGATCGATGCCCTATGCAGGGTTTTCCCCTTAAAAAAAAAAAGATAGATAGATAGATAGATAGATAGATAGATAGATAGATAGATAGATAGATAGATAGATAGATAGATAGATAGATAGATAGATAGATAGATAGATAGATAGATAGATAGATAGATAGATAGATAGATAGATAGATAGATAGATAGATAGATAGATAGATAGATAGATAGATAGATAGATAGATAGATAGATAGATAGATAGATAGATAGATAGATAGATAGATAGATAGATAGATAGATAGATAGATAGATAGATAGATAGATAGATAGATAGATAGATAGATAGATAGATAGATAGATAGATAGATAGATAGATAGATAGATAGATAGATAGATAGATAGATAGATAGATAGATAGATAGATAGATAGATAGATAGATAGATAGATAGATAGATAGATAGATAGATAGATAGATAGATAGATAGATAGATAGATAGATAGATAGATAGATAGATAGATAGATAGATAGATAGATAGATAGATAGAAAAGCAGTTGCCCTCAAACAAAGTATTCAAACAAAAAATGAAAATACTGAAGTTATTATCAAAACGAATGAATCGATCATACACATTACGGACATAGATGCTAGCATAAAGGAGGAGGAGCTGAAACATGACATTTCCAAAGTGAAAGGTGTAGAAGAGAATCAGGTTAGAATCATTTCCATGAGGCCAACTCAGAATGGGAACCAAACCGCCACGGTGGCTTTGAGAAAAGATATAGCTACACAGATAACGAATAGAGGAAAAATTAAGATAGGATGGATTCTATGCAGAGTACGGAAAAGAATGAATCTGCTTAGATGCTTCAGATGTCATCTCTTCGGACACAGAAGGGAGGAGTGTACTGAAGAAGACAGAACAGAACTGTGCTTGAAATGCATCAAACCTGGACACAAAGCGAAGGATTGCCAAAATCCTTCATTTTGTATAATGTGTAACATAGAGGGGCATTGCTCTAACCAAACTAAGTGCCCACAATACAGGAAAATGTTGAATGTCCCGAACAGGAGGCAATCAACTACAAGTAGCGTATTTAAGCATCGCGATTAGAGTACTGCAGACAAACTTAGGCAGGTCGAGGGTCTCACACGATCTGGCCCATGCTTCAGCAGTTAAAAGAGATATTGATGTGATGATAGTAGGAGAACCCAACAGAAAAATCGTTGAAGGTAATCAATGGATCAAAGACAGGAGAAGCGATGTAGCTATTCTTTTCATGAATAAAAATCTGGATGTATTCGAATCGCGTTCCGAAAGTGGTTATGTTAGTGTCAAATTGCGAAACTGTCATTTTTATTGCTGTTACATTTCTCCGAATATCCCTATGGATGAGTATGAAAGAATCGTGGATAAACTAATGGAGGATGTCAGCAGCAAGTCTGGTGAAAAAATTATAGCCGGAGATATAAACGCTAAATCTCCCACATGGGGTTCTCCTTACGCTGATAAGAGGGGTGAGTACTGGTGTGAATGGATGGCTGCTCTTAACCTGAATACCCTGAACGATGGCATCAAACCAACGTTCATCAGAGGCAGGTCCGAATCATTTATAGACATCACTTGTTGTACAACCAAGATTCAGGAGAAAATAATCAGATGGGAAGTCCTAGACGATGAACCAGGAACCGAACATCAGTATATATATTTCGAGATTGCGAGTAGGGATAGGAAAAACCAACAACCAGGAAGTATGAAACCGATTTGCGATTGGGAAGCCTTCAGGGAAATAATAACATGGAAAATGGAGGGGCGGCAGGACAATACGCAAAACTTGGAAAGTGCAGCAAGAGATGCGTATCGATCTAGCTTAGTCCATTCAAGAATAAGAAATCAGAGAACACCATATTGGTGGAATAATGAGATTGCAAACATGAGAACAGAATGCCTTAGAAGTAGAAGAGAGGCTACACGTGCGGCAAGACAACAACAAGGAACGGTAAATGAGGCAAGGGAACGATACAAGAGAACTAAGAGAGAACTGCAAAAGCTGATCAGTACTTCTAAACAACAACAATGGGATGAACTATGTGAAGAACTGAATGCCGATATATGGGGAAAAGGATTCAAAATCGCAACAAAGAAACTGATTGGCTACGCTCCCTTCAACTTGGCAGTAGAGGAGAAGTTGAAAATTGTAGGTAAGCTATTTCCAGAAGGGAAGAAGAACTGGCAGAAACTCCCCATTGCTGAAGAAATCGATCTTTTCAAGGAGGAGGAACTAAAGAGGGTGCTACAAAAAATGAAAACAGGGAAGGCACCAGGCCTGGATGGAATTCCTATGGAAGCGATAAAAAAACTGGAGGAGATTGTTCCAACAACGTTGCTTGGCCTGCTGAATGGGCTTCTCAAAGACCAACACTTTCCACGCAAATGGAAACAGGCGAAATTAGTTCTGATTCCGAAAGGAAAAATTGAAGACATGAACTTCAGACCAATATGTCTCTTGAGTTCTTTTGGTAAACTATACGAAGGGCTTCTAAGAGATAGACTGGAAAAAGAAATAGATGATACCGGAGGACTATCGAATCAACAGTATGGGTTTCGCAAAGGAAGATCAACCATCCAAGCAGTAGAGAAAGTAGTTAACATAGCGAAGGAAAGGAAAAATGATAAATGGGTAGTTTTGATCACCCTAGATGTCAAAAATGCTTTTAACTCAGCATCATGGGATCTTATTCTGGGAAAACTACGGGAAAGGAGCATAACAAGGTACCTACTCAACATTATTGATAGCTACTTGGATGATCGATATTTGTGCATAGAAATGGGCACGAGCATTGAAATGAAAGCGGGCGTTCCACAGGGCTCGGTTCTTGGCCCCACTCTATGGAACGTACTTTATGACGACGTCCTGAGTGAGGTGATGCCGGAGGGTGTATATACCATTGCATATGCAGATGACCTAGCAATTGTTGTCACTGCTGGAGATAAGCAGGAGCTGAAATGGAAGGGCGATGAAGCACTTCAACAGGTAAATGTTTGGATGCAAAAGAACGAACTAGAACTAGCACCTCATAAGTCGGAAGCATTGATACTTAAAGGGCAAAGAGATAGGGAAGGGATTACTTTCAAGTGTGGAGAAGCTGTGCTGCAACCAAAGAGAAGCATAGTGTACCTTGGTATCATGATAGGAGAGAGCTGCAGGTTTGGCCAGCATATAAAGACGACGGTACAGAAGGCTGAAAGGAAAGTAGCTGCTTTGGCCAGAATAACTCCGAATGTAAGAGGACCTGGCTCTAAAAAAAAGGAAATGCTTTATTATGTTGTTCAGTCAATTCTTCTATACGGGGCACCTATATGGTACGATTACACTAAAATGAGGAAGTATAAGCAAATGATGATCAAGACTCAGCGAAAAATGCTTCTTCGTGTTGCAAGCGCCTATCGTACAGTATCAGCGAAAGCGGTTCAAGTTGTTGCAGGAATTATTCCTATTGATCTACTCGTAGAGGAACAGTATACAATATATAACAGCGAAGGAAGGAACGGACAACAGAATAAAGCTCGAGAAAGAACACGTACGATCGAAAAATGGCAAAGACAATGGAACGAGACCGTTGATGTGGCACAATGGACGAAGCAGCTCATACCGAACTTAGGAGAATGGATAAAATGTTCACACAGGAAAACAGATTATTACCTCACGCAAGCCCTAACAGGGCACGGCTCATTCAAAGTGTACACGAAGCGGATAGGAAAGACTGTAAGCGACAACTGTATGTACTGCGACCAGGTAGATACAGTAGAACATACTCTCTTTGAATGCGAGGAGTGGGAAGCTGAAAGAAGACAATTGTACCAAAGAATAGGAGTTACACTTAGGACAGGGAATATGGTAACGATGATGATCGAGAACAGAGAAAACTGGAAACTCATAAACTCATTCATAAGGAAAGTAATGGAAGACAAAGGAAAACAGGAAAGACAACTTCAACAGGATGTAGCAGCACAGTTACGTAACTAAGGAAAAAATAAAAGACTTCAGCCAACTTGATGATATGCAGCAATGCGGTACCAAGCTGGTGTAGGCGAAACAGGGGTGGTTTTAGTGAGTATGCCAAGGTGAACCGGTGAACCTCACACAGTACTGAGGGAAAGGAGGAACAAGTACCCCAGTCAGTGCATAAAGCATTTCCACCCGACAAAAAAAAAAAAAAAAAAAAAAAAAAGATAGATAGATAGATAGATAGATAGATAGATAGATAGATAGATAGATAGATAGATAGATAGATAGATAGATAGATAGATAGATAGATAGATAGATAGATAGATAGATAGATAGATAGATAGATAGATAGATAGATAGATAGATAGATAGATAGATAGATAGATAGATAGATAGATAGATAGATAGATAGATAGATAGATAGATAGATAGATAGATAGATAGATAGATAGATAGATAGATAGATAGATCCTCCTCGAGGAGTCGTCACTTTGGAGTGGTGAGGAGGCTTAAGTAGCTGCAATGACGTCCAGAGCTATGCCGGCGGGGGTCACTAGACCCCTGGCAGGGCCTCCCAAGCCGGACAGGTCTGGTCGGAGTAGTGAAAACAAAGAACGACTCGAAGAATGAGAAATGTCGGATGTAAAGAACTCATTACCCCAGGCGGGTAGGGCTGACAAAAGTCCACAATCCCGCCCCATCGACGAGATGGGCTGCCCCACGGATTCTGGGGGGGGCATACAAACGGCAGTAGAGGGCGATCCGGCGCGGAACCAGGCTGGTACACCCAAGAATATTACTGGTTTCGAAGAGACAGTATTCTACCCATTCACGAGGAAAGATACGTTGTTGAGGACTCCTCCAAAAATGAGGACAACCTCTTTGCCTGATCTGGGGCAAACTAGTAAGCGCAAAAGAATCGACGACGTTAAATCTCCAGCGAAACAAGTTGAGGAAGAGGAAGAGTTCAGATGTATCATGGCCAAATTGAGTCTACATGCAAAACAATTTGAAAAGGTGATGAGAGATATGTACAAGCCAAAGAAGGAGTTGACGGATTGTACAGCAAAGCTGCTCCTCCAGATAGAGAAGCTGCAAAGCGACAAAATGAAGGGTTGGATTGATGAAACCATCAATAGGACAAAAGAGAAGGCAACTGAACAAGGACTGAGAAACGAAATTCAAAACCTTCGCACGCAGACGGCGTGGATGGAGAAAATGCACAACAAAGAAGTGGAAATCTTGAAAACGCGGCATGTGCAGTGTGAAAACTGCAAAGAAGAGCAAAGAAAGGAGGCGAGAAGACAAATACTGACGCAAGATGATAGCTACGAAACTTTCAAGTCGATCACAGAGGAAGACTGGCGCGAGGAAATATTCCCGAAATCTGTACAAAAAACATTTCAGCCCAAGTGGCTCTACCAAAATTCTAGTTATACCCGAAAAAGTCAAAAATGACATACTGGTATCATTCCATGATGATCCTCTCAGTGGCGGACATCTAGGGTATTTTCGAACATTGACAAAAATCAAAAATAGATATTTTTGGCCACAAATGAACAAAGATGTTGAGAATTACGTCAAGTCATGTGTCTACTGCCAGCATCGAAAAAGTGTACCCAAAGCACAACCAGGCTTATTGCAGCCAATAAAAGTTGGCCAACCGTTCCAGCAAATTGGAATCGATATACTGGGTCCTTTTCCGAAATCGAGTTTAGGAAATACATGCATTATTACGGCTCTTTGCTATGCTACAAAATGGGCGGAGGCAAAAGCTGTTACACAAGGTACTGCAAAATGTGTAGCCGACTTCCTACTTGAGAACATTATTTGCAAACATGGATGTCCGGAAAAAATAATTAGTGATAGGGGCAAATGTTTTCAGTCTAAATTGGTAACAGAAATGTTAAAAGGCATTGGTAGTCATCCCACTTTTACCACCGCCTATCATCCGAAAACGAATGGGTTAGTCGAACACTACAATGGAACATTAGCTACAATGCTTTCCATGTACGTTGCATCAAACCAAAAGGATTGGGATACTTATGTAAATTTGGTAACTTTTAACCATAACTGTTCCCCTCAGGAAACAACGAAAATGTCACCTTTTTTATTAGTTTACGGTAGAGAGCCCAGACTACCCATAGACGTAGCACTAGGGGTAGGAGATACAGGGGAAGAAGAAGTAAAACAAATCTTAGGTCGTATAAAAAACACACGTGAAGAAGTTCTGGAAAGAATTCAAAAAGAACAACAAAGACAGAAAGACCGGTATGATAAAAGTCATAGGTATGTAGAGTATAAAGTTGGAGATAAAGTAATGGTTTATACGCCTGTCCGAAAGGTAGGCAAGTCCACGAAATTATTGCATAGGTGGTTAGGACCCTATCCGGTAGTAGAAAAAGTGAATGACGTCAACTATAAGTTACGAATAAAGAAAAACAATAAATTTATTGAGGACACAGTTCATGTGGATCGCATGAAAAATTTCCATGAACGCAAAACCGTTAGGTAACAGCTTACTCAGTAAATTTAACATCGCGCGAAAGAAATGCGAAAAGTTTCGAAACAACAAAACATCTAAGCATGCATAACATCGAAGTTAGTGAACTTGATAATTGCACAGTATGCAATTAAGCAATTTAGTAGAATTCTAAAACAATGTGAAGTTTTCCTATCGATAATCATTTCAAATACAAACACCTGTTCAGTCAAGCATAAGAAAAAAAAAAGTCAAGTACCATAGTCAAGATGTCAAATCATACAATCATAGTCCCATCAGTCGCGATAATGATTATTAGTTTTGGCGAGGTACACTCGAAAGAAATCAGCATCGAATCAGGAGCATATTGGTCTAAACTTTCCAATGTACTGATTTATCAGTCCTCAGTTCCATTGGTATTGTTGCGTAACGACAATTTGAAATTAATACTCAAAAGAGGCGGTGTAGCACGCAGAGACTTACAGAAATTTGTCGGATGCTGCTGAGTCCAAAGGGCCACTTGCTGTGGAGAATTCTGCTCTTCTCTAAATGTCAGTACCGACACTCACTCTTAATGCAATAGGTTTTGTGTGACAATACACTATAACACAGGTAATTAATTGCAATGCAATCCGGAAACTACGAATTAAGAGGCGGCGGGCAGATGTGCGAACACGCGGAATTTTTGGTGGCCGTCATGTTTTACGAGTGCTGAAGGACTGACCGTTGACCTTACACTGGTCAGGTGTCAAGCGCGGTACTTCGAATAATCTCCTGGTGCTACACTTCGAGCGCGAATTATTTGAATAGTTAATGAATTATATTAATGTTTCTGCAACATTCTGCCCTGGCAAAATGCTTCAAGCATTTTTAATGAGAAAAAAAAACAAAAACAAAAAATTAGTATTATATTGATACAACAAAATAAGAAGTGTATAGAAATTTATATCTATATCAACAAACAATCAGTTTGTAATTCCAAACGACAGTCGCATATGCATTTCGTGGAACTATTTTTTATAAATTTCCATTATGATGGATAATATGCTAACATTTGAGCCCGAAAAAAAAAGGAAAACTCTCAAATGACAAAAAAAAAAAATTTGACATAACAGTCATTCGTTGACAGGTAGGGGACAAAGCTTAACGAGAGGTCGCTTCAGCGTGCCCGTAGCTGTCTTAATGGTTGCAACTCTGCAAATTTTATCATCGCCGGGATGCAATTGTATAATTCTTGCAAGGGTCCATTTACATGGCGGATTATTCTCATCCTTAACAAGGACTAACGTTCCTATAACAGGTTCCCTACCAGCATCGAGCCATTTACCTCGTTGCTGCAGCGTGTGCAGATATTCTCGGTTCCACCGTCGCCAGAAGTCGTTATGTAAACGTTGTAACAATTGCCACCGGGATAGCCGATTTATCGGCGTAGCGGAGAAATCAGGGGTTGGCAATGGACAGAGAGGTTCCAAGGTGAGGAAATGGCCTGGAGTAAGCGCTGTGATATCTTCAATATCAGAACAAATAGGGGTGAGAGGGCGCGAATTCAGAATCGCTTCAATCAAAGTGAGGATGGTATAAAACTCTTCAAACGTTAATATTTGGTAACCAATTACTTTTGATAAATGACATTTGACAGCTTTGATACCGGCCTCAGCAAGACCGTTGAAATGGGGGCCTGCTGGGGGCGAAAAATGAAACTCAATTGTTTCATGCTGAGCAGCGGATTTCATAAGAGCGATTTCTTTACGAGCTGCAGTGAAATTGGTCGCATTGTCACAAAATAGGGTATTCACACGACCTCGTCGTGAGATAAACCTCTGTAAGGCAGATAAAAAAACCTCGGAAGAAAGGTCACTAGCGAGTTCTATGTGAACTGCCTTTGTCGATAGACATACAAAGACGCATATGTATGCCTTGCAAGTTTTCACACCACGATGCCGATTGAAAGTTATGAAGTATGGCCCACCAAAATCTACGGCGGAATTGAGGAATGGTTTGAGTTCGGAAATTCTTGGTGACGGCAAGGAGGCCATAGGAGGTTGACAATTTTTAGGATTATTTTTCCAGCACCGAAGACATTTAGACACCACGGAGTTGATGGCTCTCTTGGATGACAAGATCCAAAATTTTTGCGAAAGTAAATGTTGAGTTGTACGACACCCAGAGTGAAAATATTTCAAGTGATAATAATTGATAAGCAAGCAAGTCAAACGACCTTGGCGCGGTAAAATCATTGGATGCTTAGCATCGTGCGGTAACTGTGAATGTTTGAGACGGCCTCCCACTCTTAGAATACCGTCGTTATCGAGAAAAGCACCGAGCTTCCGGAAAGGGCGCGGAAATATAGAATTTTCTAAGTCATGGGAAAAATATTTATGTTGCGTGAATTTCACTAACAAGCGTAATGCATTTTCTAACTCTGACCCTGAGAGTATCCCTAATTTACGTTCGGCTTGAATTTTTCTACAATTAGTCAAGAATCTCAAAACATAAGTGGTGACACGTTGCAACATGGGGAAGTTTGAATATTTTTCAAGTAACAGTTCCAGAGAACTTTCTATTTGTGGTGAAGCGAAAAGCACTAGTTTGCGCTCTTCCTCGATAGGGTAAGAAAATGGCGAAGGGGGTGAATATTTGGAAATTTCATGTTCACGAAGTAAGGATGGTCCCTGGAACCACAAAGAATGAGTCATAAGGGCGGACGGGAGTACACCTCTGGATGCAACATCCGCGGGATTATTTTTGCTATCGATATATAACCACGATGATGGCGGCATTTTTTCCTGGATGAATGTCACTCGGTTCGCGCCAAAGGTTGTCCAACGATGAGATGCACCATTTATCCAGTAAAGAACAATTTGCGAATCTGACCAAGCATAAATATTGCGAATTGAAATTTTATCCTACAAATTATTTGATAGGAAGGTCATAAATTTACAAAGTAACACTGCAGCGCACAATTCAAGCCGAGCAATGGTGACTTTTTTCAAGGAAGCAACTTTTGATTTAGACCCCAGAAAATGTATAGAAATCTCATTATCATAATCGATTGTACGAAGGTAGACGACGCATGCATACCCCTTTTCACTAGAGTCGCAAAAACCGTGCAAGTCACACATAGGGGTAGAAATGATTAAGCGCGGGATCCGAAGTTCACCCATCATGGGGAGTTCAGATTTATATTTATTCCATATCTCAACAATTTCATCCTTAGGGGTGTCGTCCCACCCTATCCCACTTTTCCAGAGAGTCTGGACAAGATGTTTTGAAAAAAATGTTATGGGGGAAACGAACCCGAGAGGATCATATACACGGGCTAATTCGGACAACATTACGCGTTTTGTACAAGGTCGATCATCTGAAACTTTGACAGCGAAAAAGAAACAGTCTTGTGCGGGGTTCCACTTAAGTCCTAAAACCTTAATTGAAGAGTCCGAAAATTCACAATCAAAATTAAGCGGTT